AAAAAAAAAAAAAAGAATTCCAGGAATGATTTTTGGACTCTAAATAAACATTGTGCTGAAAGTTTAACACAGCCAACTCCCTGTCGACGCCACCCAAACCCACCATTAATCACCATTGTTTCCTTCTTGCTCCATCTTGCAGTGTGCAGTGGCGCAGCCAAATATTTTTCTAAGGGTATTCAAAGTTTATNTATATATATATATATATATATATATATATATATATATATATATATATATATATATATATATATGTATGTATATATGTATGTATATATATATGTATGTATATATGTATGTATGTATAAAAAATAAATTTTGATCTATCTACACAATATAATTTTTTATATACTCAATATAATTTTCTAATGAAGAATATTCAAATGACCACCCTTTACTCTATTTGGCTACGCCACTGCAGTACAGAAGAGCCATCAAAACTAGCTCCCTAATATTTAGGTTTATATCTTCTTCTCGTACTATCACTTTCTCCTTCGCCTAGTGTAATTTGATTTTGTCTCATAATTTAATTTGCTAGATAGTACTTTTTTGTGGCTCGGAGGGTTAGAGAAAACATAACCGTAGAAATCTCGACCTATATGTTGGTAGTATTATGTAAGCAAATGAGCAAGGGATAAAAAGGTGACGAATTTTTAAAGTCCAGATTTCAGTAGTTGTTCCTGGAGTTTCACTCTTAAAAGTCTCGAACTGCATTAGTTATTTAAGGGGTTTCACATATACGGAATTTTGGAATAATTCTTGATCAATGTTCAAAATTCAAGAGTCATTCCTAGAGTTTTCCGTACTTTAACTGGGTGTATTTTTACTCAGATATTTTTTCGTGTAAGAAAGTGACTAATACTAATAATTCTTTAAGTATTGGCTAAACTCCAATAACAGAGGTTAAAAGTGTCTATTTTATAATATCTTCCTTAAAGGCCTATAAGCTCAATATCTCATCTTTTTTCTTTTGTTGTCATTAATTTAAGTTATATACTAATGTAATAAATTGTTCATACTATTTGCACATTTTATTGGTTATTGCATGTTACTATTTATTCCTTATTTTTAGTCGCATAAATAAATTTTATATAATTATTTTTTAAATGATATAATTGTATAAATATCTTCTACTCTATCGGTGATTAACTTAAACTTTATTAGAATTTCTTCCATTTTATTTGTATGATGTTGGTAACTAAATAAACTTTAAGAAAGAATAGAAAATCTTTAAAATTTATGATTTTAAATAGTATGTCTTAATCTTATAATTTTATAATTTGTATGACTATAAAAGATTGTCTTTAAAAATAATGTGAAAAGTCCAAGTAAATTATTTTTATATTTAAAAATATATAATTTTTCTGAAAAAATAATATTCTATTTTACATAATAACATTCTTTTTTTGGGACGAAGGAGTACAGTTTAAGAGCGGATTTGGCCATGAAATGTTTTTCATTTTTTTTCGAAATTCTTTTAACTTTTTTTTCCGAAATCAGTATTTGTCCATAAAATTTCCAATTTTCATTTGAAGATGAATTTTGAACTTTTTCGAAAATTTGAAATACTCTTTTTTTTAAAATTATTTACTTAGATCACTCACAATTCAAAAATAAACTAAAATTATATTCATGTTCAAACAAAACTCTAATTTTCAAATACCATTTTCATTTGAAAAAATATTTCACCTTTTTTCGGAATTTTACAATTCTTATGTTCAAACGCCCACTTAGATATTCTCTCGTAAGTAATTTTTAGGTTAGCTTACCTAAGCACTACGTAAAAAATTATTTGTTAGTGCTTTTCTTTCTTTCTTTCTTTTTTTTTGACAAAAGAAGGAAAAACAGCTACGGGAAGACGAGCGACGAATACTTCACAGAATTTCTTTCAGCAGCTGAAGGATGAGGCGGAGACCGGGAATCGGAGGTTTACAGAACGCGGCGGCGGCTAGGGTTTGTGGCCTAAGTTTATTTTGACTTTTTCAATTCATTTCGTACTTTTTTTTGTTTAATACTCTTCGTTTTTCTCGCGATGTTAATTGTAGGATCAATATCGATTACTAGGGGAAAATGTGGCGAAATTGAGAACTGATCTTATGAAAGAGCAGCTAGCTACTTTTCGCTCTCAGCTTGAAGACTTTGCTCGCAAACACAAGGTTTTGCATTATTTTGTTTTTTTTAGTGTTAAATTTAAAGCTTTTTTTTTTCCGATTGTTTAAGTTAATTTTTGTTTTTAACCTTCTCAGTTATCCCGCCCGTCCTTGATTTAATGATATGATAGGAGTACGATGATTAAAGCATCTAATTTTGTAAAATAAAAATCTATGTATTGATACACTACAGGAAAAGTACTTTGAATTGTAATTTTATTTATAAGTACTTGTGATATTTGAAAAAAACATGGCTAAAAAAGAACTACTTAACTCTAGTACCCGATGTTGTAGCCTATTGGTCACTGAAGTGGGAGGAGAACCACGAGATATCAGTTTCAAATTTCTGCTGAGGCAAAAAATACTAGGTGATTTCTTTTCATCGGCCTAAGCTTGGTGAGCAGAGTTACTCGGTACCTGTATTGGTGGGAGATACCAGATACCTGGTAGAATAATTAAGGTGCACGAAAACTGGCCCAGACACCATTATCATAAAAAAGAAAGAAAAAAAGGTAATTGTCTCATTTGAATTGAGACAAAAGGAATCATATATGCTTGTTAGAAATACGTTCTGAGGAAGCATGTATGTCTCTAAGTTATCTTAGTTTGGCCATCTGTTGATATTTGATAATTCCAGAAAAGACATGAAAAGATGCAATTTTAGCTATTTATTGTCGATTTGGGATTTATGTGCATTTATCTCGGCAAACGGATCATAATTGAACTCCACCATTCTTATTTTTCTTAAAGATCATAGTATTGGGATAGTATCAAGAGAAAGATGGGTTTATATTGTCAAATGTGTGATATTTCTAAAGTCTGAGCAGCAATCAGGGCTGTTGAGCTTGATAAATCATTTTCTTTTTCTTGTCTAACTGGAGTGTTGTAAAAGAGGCGTCCCTTGTGCATTGTGCTTATTATTATTATTTTTTTTTATAATGGTAACAAATTTTATAAATGAGTAAAATATTTACAAGAGATTGTGTGAGCCATAATCAGACCCCAAAAGATCTGAGACTGCCTAGCCTATTCTGTTCGATTACATTTCTTCTAGCAAATCTAGTAAAGAATGTATCCTCCCTATAGCTCTCTTTGCACCAAAAATGAAATAACAAAAAACAATTAAGCTTAATTTTCTGGTAAGAGCTAGGCCTATCTTCAAAAACTCTGGCATTCCTTTCCTTCCATATGACCCACCAGATGCAGGCAGGAACTTCCTGCAGAATGAAGTTCTTATTTGGTACTTCCTAATTGAAATTTATCAGCATGCTTTTACTTGTTTAACTAAAAAAAAAAAAAAAATCATAAAGAGAAAGTTTTGGTTATTCCTTGTTTTATTTTGCAGAATGACATTCGCAAGAATCCTGCATTCAGGGCACAGTTCCACGAGATGTGTGCTAAAGTTGGAGTAGATCCGCTAGCATCAAACAAGGGTTTCTGGGCAGAACTGTTGGGGATTGGCGACTTCTATTATGAACTTGGTTGGTACCAACCTCCTTAGTAATTTGGGTTATTGCGAGACGTGTTTTTTATGGTGCATGAGAGGAACATTACATAGTATTTTACACTGCAGTTTTAGATCTTAACTGCAATGTGGCAGTTCTACTTCCCTTCGAACTTTTCAATTAAAAAAAAGAATGTGACAGTTCTACTTCCCATTGCTATATGATTGATTGACATCAAACCTTGAGCAGTATTAATATATTTGTTAGATCGCAGAATCGTGCTTAGTTCTTGTCTGTTTCCTAGTTAAGTATTAGTATCATTTGTGGATAATATCTATATGAACCGGATTTAAATGAAACCCACCTGTCTAGGCAGGGGTACAGATCATTGAAGTATGCTTGGCTACTAGACCCCACAACGGAGGTTTGATAAGCTTGGATGATCTTTGTAAACTGCTTGGTCAGAGACGGAAAGCTGTTCGCGAGACAATATCGGAGGATGACTGCTTGCGTGCTATAAGCAAGCTGAAGGTATTGGCTCAAGCTTTTATGTTTCAGTTGGCAGTAACTGAATGATGCATTGAGCAGCTGGTGCTAAATCTAACGGATCCTCCTTTTCCGTTAATTTGAAGAGCATATTTCACATTTTAGTGCTTTGCACATTTAGTTATGAGGATCATGTTTCAAGCTTCGATACCAAGATATTTAATTTTGCTAGTTGCTCCATTTACCAAAATGAATAGAAAAAAGAATCTGTACTCCAAACCACCTATGTCATGAAAAAATGGTAAACTGCAAATACTTCTTTCTGTTTTCTTAAGTTTTTATAGGTCCTTAGCACATGAAGCAACTCAAGATAATGGTGAATATATATGATCAGGTCACTATGCGCTCAGCCCTCATTTAGATGGAAGATAGGAGAAATACAAAGCTGTCTCAAAGCATGATTTCTGTTGCAACGACTATAAACTAATATCTAATTGCATATTTCAGGTATTAGGTAGTGGTTTTGAGGTGATTACAGTGGGAAAGAGAAAGCTTGTTAGATCTGTCCCTACCGAACTGAATAAGGATCACAATGAAATTTTAGAGCTGGCCCAGGTATAACCTTTGTTCTTTATGTTTCCTACAGATTCATGTAGGCCATTTCTCTCTTTGGACAGTTTATAGTTAGGCAATTGCTGTGCAGCTCAAACTGTCACTTTCACTTGATGCAGTAGTTTCCCCCCTTTAGTAGTATTTCAGAAGTTTAGTTTCTTCAATCAGTCATCGATATTTTGGCAACTTAAAGGGAATCTCTCTTTCCTTTTGAATCCATGAGTATTAAAAGCTACTATTCAGCTTAGGGAAGTATCCCCAGATTGCTATGTTTGACTTTGAAATATTGCCTACTATGTTACATGGCCTTGTTTTATCAATATATGTTAAAAGAGGAAATTCTTACTCAAGAAAAATATGTTAACAGAGGAAATTGTTTTCTGGTCTCTTTACCACAGGCTCAAGGCTTTGTGACAGTTGATGAGGTACAAAGACGCCTAAACTGGTCTTCAGGTCGTGCAACTGATGCGCTTGAAACACTGTTAGAGGTAAGTTCTTGATGTCATTCCTTCTACCTCTTTCCTCCTATGTTTTCCAGCAAGGCTCTAAGCATTTCCTATTAGATCTCTTGTGATTCAAGCTAACAAATGGCTTGCATGTATCATACAGGAAGGGCTTGCCATGATTGATGATGGTCACAGAGATGGCAGACGTCGATACTGGTTCCCCTGTGTGTCCTCTATCTCCTCCTATGTAGGGGCAGACGCTCTTTAGCGTTTTCCTCATTCAGATCTGAGGATCTTTCGCTTTTGAACCACTGTTCCTTTCATAACCAGAACTTGGACAATAGATTGCTCGTAGAGATGCAGTCTTTTTCCATTTCCCTTGGTCCAACAAGCTTTTGATATGCAGCTTTTGCATATCTTAGAATGTTGCCCTATTTGTGTAATCCGTACAGTGAAATCATAGTGTTGAATCATTGATTGTTGTATGAAGCTTGTTTCATATATTTGAAACGACTTGCCTGTTCTGTGAGCTTTCTCCAAATTTGAACTTCATAGGATGTCATTGTGGTGTACAATGCAGGGAAAGTATGTGACTTTGCTTGTAGTTATTCCTGTTGAATGCGTCATTTTTCTTAAACAAAATGGCCAAATTGGCGTTATAAGGGTGAAATTAAAAAATAGCCAAATTTACAACTTGTAATTGAAAAATAGCCACAGTTCAAAAGTAATCGAAATTTAGCCACTTTTCATGTTAAAATAATTTGAACAAAAATATTGTTCAAAATTTGGAAATTGGAGTTCAATTTTTACATATGAACTCCAACATAATTTGCTGGAATTTTATAATATGCTGGAGTTCGATCATAATATGCTAGAAGTTTAGCATGAGCTTCATAATCCAACATATTATGCTGGAGTTTTCCATGTTTCAACAAAATAATGGTTATTTTTCAATGACTTCGCAATCGCTGGCTATTTTTCAATTACCAGTCCGAAAACTGGCTAGCCCGTGCTATTTTGACCGTTATGAGTTATGGAGGATTATATAAGTAGCTTCATTCAGTTGTGCAATTGTTAAGTCATAGTGTCATACTGTTTGAAACATAGTTACATAGGCCAGGTATCTTGCTCCTTATGTCACCCCTTTAAGTAATACTGGTGTGGATTTACTTACATAACGTTTGCATAATACTTAGCTAAAACCCGATAACAGTAATCAGTGACAGAATACTCCCTGCCCCTAAAAAGGACTGTAAATGTAGATCAATCAATCAATTACCTCCCAATTCTAGACTAGTTAATGTCGACTATATGAAAACTAAACTAGTTAAAGTCGACTATATGAATCCTCTGTATATATCCGAGCTTGTCTAACCAGCCAATGCACATATGTTCTGCCTTATGGTGTATCTAACAACAACAACAACAACAACACAACAAACCCAGTTGAATCCGACAAGTGGGGTTTGGAGAGGGTAGTGTGTACATAGACCTTACTCCTACCTTATGTCGGTAAAGAGGTTGTTTCCCATATTATCGTGCATCTATCAAAGTATCAATTTTATCTATTTATTTCCAAGTGGTTTTGGCAGAATCATTAATAGGATCAGCCCATTCACTTGCTTCTGCCCAAGCTTTAATTCAAGACCAGGAAGTTGTTTAATGCTAAGTTTCATTGGACTAAAGATGCCAGTTGTTGGTTATAACTGATTTAACAGCCAGAAATTACACCACAGCTGCAAATTCAAACGCTGAATCAAGACAAAATGCTATGAAGAGTAACAGAGACTTAAATTCTACTCACTGAGACAATGCTGTTCTGTTCAAAAATAAAAATAAAATAGCATAAGTGTCAGGTGCCCGCATACAGTAATTCGCGATAAGAATCCAGCTCCTCATGTACGGTACACCCAGTATGAAACTGGATCTCCACGTTATGGACAAATGTCACTACTCGGCTTTAGACGGGAAATGGTTTCCGCCGGTGGCGATCTTATACAGGTAAAATCCAGTCATTACCACACTGCAAAACACGATAGAAATGTAATGTCAATCTCATTATTAGATAAAAGCTTCTATGATCATATCAGCAATATAGATTTTCCAGACAAGAAATTTTTTAATAGAATCTTCTCTATGAACAATCAGCACAACCAATGAATCATCAATGAAATAGGAAACCAAGCATGAAAATGTGGTGTATCGTCCACCTTATATAATCCACAATCAACTGCAGATGATCTGTAGGATATGAAATCAATTGCAGTTGTCTCTGTTTTGGTTTTTCTTACATTCTAGCAAGGTAAAGGGGAGCCAGCCTTGGAGCAACGGTAAAGTTGTCTCTGTGTGACCTATAGGTCACGGGTTCGAGCCGTAGAATCAGCCATTGATGCTTGCATCAGAGACATCAGAGTAGGCTGATTATATCACCCCTTGGGTTGCGGCCCTTCCCCCAATCTTGCGTGAACACGGGATGCTTCGTGCACCGGGTTGTCCTTTTTTACATTCTAGCAAGAGTTTCAAAACACTTGTAGAAAGTACTAGAGTTGGATAAGCTAACTTCTCAGGCTACAATTATAATTGCAGATGATGGAAAAAAAGACCACTGAAATTGTGAAACAGTTCAGTGTTCCCCATGTATTCGTATGAGAAAGTTTCTCTTTGACTATCCGCTTTAGATGAAATCCAGAAATCGCCCCCTTTTTTTTAATTTATAAATTTGACGAAATTCGTGAACTTGCATTGAAAACGTTAAGTGGATCAAGAGGTCAAGGCCAAAACTAAATTTAATTATTGGACATTTTAACTGCCAATTGACACTTTAAAAGTGAGTCTCCATAAAATAAAGAAATAAACACCGAATGGAAGACGGCGTTTGACACTCTAGGAGAGTTGACCTCACTGCGCATGGCAACCTAACGGTCAGTTTGTTCCCAAGGTAGTACCATAGATATAAAGATCATGATAAAGCAACTTTATATATTATGACATGTAATATGTTGATGAACGAACGAAAAAACACCAGATGGAAATTGGAATACAGAAAACAAGAATTAAATAACAAAACTTGCATGGCATGCTTTGTATTTGAACTTACCTGAGACCAGCAACAATGCCAGCTGGCATTATCTTTGAAGTTTGCATGTATCGCTGACCCATGACCCATGTTAGTACAGCAGCACAAGCTGTTTCAAACCAAATAAAGTGTGTGGAGATCACTTTCCCATCCAAAACAAACAAAGGAAACTCAATATGATTACAAGAATATGAATGAAGCTTTCATTTTTTTCCTCAGAGCACAATTATGCTGTCATTGAACAAACAAAAACTTGATGCATTTTTGCCACATCTTTAATTTTTATAAAATATAACTTGAAGACAGCATGATAAGCTACAAGATGGGTAGGGAAAATTCAGAAATCTGGACATGGCAAACGAGTTTTCTTTTCAACCCTCATAAATTTGAGTTATTTATCTACTTCTCTTCAATCGCATGTGGAACGGTTGATTGAAGTCCTAAACCTAGCACATAATAAGCTTCAAGTTTCATGAATCTACTTGAATTTGGTAACTTCTTGCTCAATCTTAGCTAGGGACTAGTAATGCTAAAATTAACTTTTTAGGTATAAATATATCTATTTTTAACTTGATACTTCCGACTGTTGGACGTCCTAGACTATCAGAGGTATACAAACCAAGGATATTTCGTCTCTTCGTGGGTTTGAGCAATGCTCCCAGTTCCTACCTGACCTCGTTCACATATGCTTATTGCATTTTTGGAGCTTGGTCATATGCTGAACAAAATTGAACAAAAGACTAGGGGATGTAAAGAGGAAAGTTTAGAGAAGTGAGCTCCTAAGATGTAACGAGTACAAGATTAGCAGAAGCCTATGCAGCAAGAGAATGTATATTAGGCCGGGAGACAGGTAGTAATGAGTCATCCTCCAAGGAGATGCTAATGCAATTGATGCGTTGTTTTCTCTTTAGAAGACGGAACCTTCTTTATGCATCCTCCATAGCTGTATTAGGAGTTAATGATAAATTCATAACTAGAATAATTGTCTTTCATCTCCCTATGATTATGGCGTTTTGCCTGTTAGCATTCTGTACGTGGCATTCACTTTCTCTATCAGGGGTAAAACACAAAATGGAACTGTAGAATTGATCAATTGGACGGGTTCGAGAGTTTGGTTCGACTGAGACGGATGTCTCATCGGGTTCAGAAGGGGATGGCAATGCAGATTTGGATGCCTCATATCGTATGATAAAGAAGAGAATTTTTACAAAGCCCGAGAGCTAGAGTTTGTTGAGAAAGTAGCTTTGAAGATGGGCTCTCATTCAGTACTTATTAGAACGACGTTAACCCATCGATTCCTCATATGTTTTGCATCAGTATTCACTTTCTCATAGTGTAACAACCAAGAATTTCTCATTTCATAGGAAGGTCGAATTTTAAATGCTATCAAACAAACAAACAGAAAATGGAAATGTAACATGAAACATTAGTAAAGCTATGACGACAAGTTGCTAAACAATGAGATCATCCTATAGAAGTATCAGAAGAGGGATAAAAACAATCCAATACCAACGACCCTCCTCTGCTGCAAACCATACAGCTCACATAAACTTTATAAACAGAGAGACAAACAATCAAGGAGAAAAGCTTTCTCACCCTTAAATCTAAAGTAGAGCAGCAAATATCAGACCAGATACAGTAGATACTCAGATAGATATCAGGACTTACTACTGTATCAGCAGAGGCAGATTCAAGATTTGAACTTTATGGGTTCGGAATTCTAGGACAACGACCTCAATGCTAATAACTAGGTTCAAAATTTTATCGTTGTACATATTTAGTGGATTTTTCTTAACACATACAACGTCTAGGTTGGCCGAATCCGTAGCTTTCACTGTGTATCAGCTTATCATAGAATGAAAAACATAGGCAGATCTAAGTGTAGGCTGCAGGTCCGGATGGACCCAGTGCCTTCTATTCCAGTAATATTCATAAACAACAACAACAACTACGCCTCGATCTGAAGTTAGTGGGGGTTGGCTGTATGAATCCTCAATATCATGAATGCTCTATTTGGGTCTTAGTACTATTTATACAACAGCAACAACAACAAAAGAAAAACCAGTGTAATCCTACAAGTGGGGTCTGGGGAGGTGTAGTGTGTACGAAGACCTTACCCCTGACTTGTGAAGGTGGATAGTCTGTTTCGGACAGACCCTCAGCTCAATAAACGACGAAAAAATGTTTTTTTTTTTCTTCATATAATAGATTGTTTTTTATTACATTTGCTGTCATGTTACAAAAGAGTTATGGGTACAATACTACAACAACAACTACGACGTAATCTCAAACAAGTTGGGGTCAGCTATATATGAATCCATACTGATCAGTTAAGGGAATGAAAGGCTATACCAGTTTCAAGAATCAAGGCAAAGTAAGAATTTTTGCGCTTGTGAAATGCTTGAAGACTCAAGTAACCAGCTAAAATGAGCAGAAATCCAGTACCCAAACCT